AATTATGGGAGTTACAATTATAATAATTGTGTGTTTGAATGACATTGAGTGGATGAAAACAAATTAATACATAATATTTATGATTTCAGTTATAACTTGGCATTAAAGTGTGGATTTATATATGATTAAATGTGTTGTATATGTAGTTTAATTGTAAATATATATATATATATTTTTTATTTTGGGAAAATGAATTGTCAAATGGACCAATAAGAAGAGAGTGAAACTTTACTTTTATATATATATGATTTATAGTAATTACTAAAAAGGGTGTAAAAAATAAAGAAATCAAAGTTATAAGGGTTATGGAAAGAAAAAGAAAAAATAAAAGGTTTAAAGTGTAATTTATTTTTTTTGTTTTCTCTCCGATGGAGAATCCCAAATTCTCCGGAACCCTAATCCAAAATTGAAAAGAGAAGATTCTCGACGGAGGAGATTTAGCTACCCGGTCGAAGAGAGAAGAGACTCGATGGAAGAAATTGGAGCAGCACAGAAAGAGCCTTGTGGGGATCAACATTAAGGTCCTGAAGGCGAATAAGCTTCTCTCCGAAGAAAATCACAGTATTGAAAGTTTTTCCGGTGAGAGATTTAGCTCCCATGGTGAAGAAACACGACGGTGGAAAGAACCAGCACCATGCAATCATCTTCGGAGAAAGAAGTGGCCCAATTTTGACAAAACGTCTTACCATAAAGCAGAGTTTCGATGGAGGAAATTGGAACGGAGAGAGCCTTGTGAGGATCACCATTAAGGTCATGAAGGCGAATAAGCTTCTCTCGGAAGCGAATCCAAGTATCGGAAGTTTTCCCGGCCATATATTTAGCTCCCGCGGTGGAGAAAAACGGCGGTGAAAAGAACCAGTACCGTACAATCATCGTTGGGAAAAGAAAGTGATCCAATTTAGACAAAACGACGTCGTTGAAATGAGTAGAAAAAATGAAGGACAAGGGGCATAAGAATAAATTTACACCTTTAATAGGCTTAATAGTCAGGAGACAATAAAACGACGTTGTTGGCATGCGTTTCTTGAGAATATTGTTATGTAATTAATTAATTTAAACTAGAATATAGATAATTTTATTGATAATATATTAAATCAGTTTTATAGATATAGATATATGTAATATCGTTAGTCCTGAGACCAATTATCCGGGATCCGCTCTGATCCGCTCCGAAAAATAGGATATCCGGCTGGGACGGATCCGGATCCGGATTATGAAAAAGTGGATCCGGCCGGATCCGGATAATAGAAAAATTAAAGCCGGATATCCGGATCCGGGATATTTTATATTATAATAATATTTTTAAATATTTTATTACTATTATTTAAATTTTATTAATAATTTTTATTATATTTTATATAATAATAATATTTTTAATTATTTATGTTAAATTATTTATTTTTAAATATTTTTCTTTAATTTTATATTAATAAAAAGAATTTATATAAAAAAAACTCGGATCCGGATATCCGGTTATTTTTACGGATATCCTAAATCCGGATATCCGGGTGGAGCGGATCCGGATCCGGATAATGAAAAGACGGATCCAGATCCGGATACCCTAAAAAAGCCGGATATCCGGATCCGGCCCACCCCTAAATATCGTACATGAGCGGAATTATAAATTAATAAAAATATCTATTTAAACTCTTTACATGGTCACAAGGGTCTATCAAATATTAAAATATACAAATCCAAATTACAGAAAATATTCAATGGGTAGGATGAATATTTTTGTGATGGTTGAGTAAAACATGTTTATTAAATTTTCTATGCTTATTTATTTGCCATCAACCGCTCGGCCAACTCTCCGAAAGATAATTTCTATTTTATTTTATTTTTCCTAAATAGAACATAGCCCTATGAGTTAATACGATCACTATGTAGAGAAAAATATAGGGTGTAACTTTCTTTAATAGGAATATAAATCTGGCTATATAAATAAATGAGATACGCAATCCAGTATACCCATTTGTGAAGTCAAAAAGAACCTTTAACTTCATGTCCAAATAGAATAAAAGTGGTAAAAAGAAATTGGAACTAAGTCATCTCGAATCAACGGATTCATGATAAAATCCCTTTATTTATTAAAAATGTTTAATGAATAAGAGGATTAAATGGTGTATATTCTTTTGTTAATAGCTTGGAGGATTAAAAACATGACTATTGCTTTCCAATTGGCTGTTTTTGCACTAATTATTACTTCATCATTCTTACTGATTAGTGTACCTGTTGTATTTGCGTATCCTGATGGTTGGTCGAGTAACAAAAATGTTGTATTTTCTGGTATTTACATAGATTGAAACATGCATGTTCATAATCAAGCTTCTTCATGATTACTTGATACAAATAGAGGTCATAGTTCAATTCTTTTTTCTTTTGCTTATTTATGAACATGCATGTTTCTCTAGTTTTTGCCATTTTTTATATTACAAAAAAAAGGAAAGATATGCTGTTACATATTTGATTTTGATTTTGGTTTGATATTACAAAAAAAGGAGAGCATGTGTTTGTCCTATATACTCTCCTTACTCCATCACACATGAAAAATTGTTGGGTTCACCTAAGGTGAACCCCTCTTATTCATCCCATTTTAATTAACCATTTAAAATACAACAATATACCATATGATATTATAATTGAAAATAAATCAAAATTAAAATCACAAAACAAAAATATTAAAGGAAACAAAATCTATATGTTTTTAATTAAACAAGGTTAATTACGGGTCTCATAAAATTTAATCAATATCAAACAATTCAAAGGTTAGAGGATAAATACTAGATGCCCCATTATGGGTTAACTTCCACGTTAACCCTTATTTATACCAAGTAACTTGTCATACAGTTTTTCCAGGATTTTTAATGTCTTATTAGTTTAATATTTTCTTTTCATTTAGTTTCCCAAAACTTAATGTTCCTGATAACAATGTATGTATCGACTAACTTGTTATATACTTGAGAATAAATCTATGTATATATATGTTAACTTGAATTATATGATCTTACGTGCTAACTTACGTGTTACCTGATTTATGTGCGATGTAACATATGATATATGCTCCTTTTGTCATTTCTTTTTGTATTTTACTTTTTATTATTTAACCCAATTCTAGTCATTTAACATAATAACTTACACTTTACCCTCTAACTTGACAATATAACTTTTTGTCTCTGATAACAATGTACATATCTACTAACTTTTAATATACTTCTCTAAAACTTATATTTACATGCTAACTTTGAAATATCATCTTACCGGATAACATTTTAAGTATGGTCTTTATAAAAAAATATAAAAAAAAAATATATTTGAAGTATGACAACAGTTTTTGTTAACCTACATGTTATCCCATTATGTACGAGGTAACGTGTTATCTTATTTTACATTCAACTATTTAACCCGCTACTAAACTGGACACCTAATAACTTAGGTTTTACCCTCTAACTTGATAATATAACTAATGTGTTCACGAAAGCACCAAATTTACGTTCTAAGTGTATTTAACTTTCAACCATTTCTCCATACTAAACATTTTACCCTTTTCTAGCCAAAACAAACTTGTAGGCCATCTTCATTCTAAGGAGTACGGACATGAATAACATGTAACAGTTATAGTAACTCCATAAATGAGCCAATCCTGAATTAACATATAACAATTATAATATCTACATAAACTTATTGGGAATTTTGTATTATGGAGCACTTTTTTGAAACTCAATTATTCAATAGGGCACTTTAGGGATAGTAAGCACTTAATTATGATTTTTACCATAATACCTTCTAACTATCTAACAAAAAACTTACATTCTTCTCTCTTCAATCTCAAAATGTGCCCCAACGCACTTATATGGATTTGAAAGTAAAGACAGAAAGATTCAAATCTGTGGCTAAAACATGTTATTTAAAAATTCATAAGTCTTGATTGCAAAATCGATAAAGATTTTCCAAATCCTATAAGGATTTACAAATCAATGAATCAAGAAAGACTAATAAGATTTTGGTGAAAGTTTAATGTTACATTTGTTTCATTAACTTTTTTTTCTTCATTGTAAGACACATATCTGTCAACTATTCATAAGTTTACCCAAAAAAGATGATTTAGATTTTCTCACATATATATATTGATAAAAGATTTTAAATAATAGGTACATTACTTTAATTCGTTTATTAATTATTTTAAATTATTTATAATAATTAGATAGTGAATATTGTTTACTGATTAAAAAAAAGAGTTACATTGACTGGTATTTGGTAATAGTATTCCACAAAAAGTACCAACATTGCAACTAAAATAAAGCATAAAGTCTTAATCTTTGTAAACAGATGTAATAGTTTTAATAAAATAGTGTTAAAAGTATTTATTGGTAAAATCACAATTCATATGCAAGTTTATGGAGAGAACATTTAAAACGCAAAAAACAGCGATGATTTAGTTACTTCCCTTGTCTCTTGATTTCCTTTCAAATCTTCTAGAGGTAAAAACTTTTGTAATTATTCTTCACTCATTCTAGTATTACGAAGAAGAAATCAAAACTACAAATATTCGATTAATTCTCGTTCACACATAATCCAATATGGGTTAATTCTTTTGTAGATCTTGTGTTACAAGTTTCATTTATTAAGCTTATGTTCTCTATCAGTTGTGAAACATGAACCACATCAAATCTAGCTAAAAAGAGACTACACGATTATTAAACTTATGTTCTCTATCTTCAAAGAGACAACACGAATTTCAAGTTAAAAAATATCTTTTTGGGGAAAATTTCTATAAAAGAATGTACTTAATTACGTACTTACCACCTCACGATTTAAGTCATCAGTTATAAACACTCGCTTCAAATAGAGTCTAATGTTATTTGGTTTTGGGTTTGAGACACCTCTAATGCAAAGGCGCCATTGATTAGTTCTCTGATCGGCTGTTTCATTTTATTGATGGATATATTATTATATAAGAGTTAAAAAAAAAAAATTATTATATAAGGGTTCATTTAAAAAAAGAAAAGAAAAAGAAAGGTAAATATTGGCATGAGCAACATCAACATGGGCTGTCTCCCTCAGTTTACCAAAAAAAAACATCAACATGGGCTGAGATTACCCTAGACTCCTGTATTACTCTGTTTTAATGTTTGCATAAAATTTTCGATATATTGTCCCTTTCTGTAACTAGAGAGTGCAAGTTTTTGGACTTAGGTTTATGGAGTGTGAGGCTAAGGTGGAGATTGTTTATTATGACCATGCCAAATCTCATGGGTTATTGGGTTGACCGGGTCTTCATAGTGGGTTAGAAGAAAAGAAAAAAAGTAGTGGGTTAGAAAAGTTGGCCAAGACTTTTTTCGAAGGGTCTATGAGTTTACAAGAATAAATGTGATTGGGGCGAGTACGCATTAAAGTCCTGATTCCTAACCAAAGTAAAAGGTGAAAGAAAGAAACATATATGTGTACATTTCTACAAACATGTTTTCTATACCATTGTCCTCTCAAGCTCATATACTATTCTTATCATTTAATGCAATGCTATAAATAGCTTTATCTTCTCGTCTTTCTTTTTTATGCATCTCCTTCGAAGGTTTTGGCTCTTTTTTTTTTTTTTTTTTCTTGCCTTATGTAGTTATGTTTATTTTTTTTCTTTGTGAGTTTGTTCCGTCGCTACTTCATTATACTTACTCGTTTTCATTTTCAAGCTTTCTTTGTTTTTAGTTGTTCTTACATCATATTTCTATTACTAATACTTTCATGATTCATCATTATTGTTCATCTAATGCTCTCATTTCCCTCACGCAGCTCCAAATTTCAAACACAAGTGCCTTGTCTTCCGACTTTTCTTCTCTTCAGGTTCCTGAGATAAGGTAACATTACTGATTATTTTGGTTTAATTCATAAATTTCCCTAAGATTTTTCTTGGATATTAAGCTTAATCAATATAGATGTATCATGGAAGTACATGGGAAGTCTAAAGTTTGTATAGTTGATGAACAGTAAATCACAATTATTGTAGCCCCATGAAGCATGTCTCAAATTGACTTTTCTTGTTGCGTTTAAACCATTAGATAGCGATAAGGATATTAAATGGCCAAGAAGCAATAATAACTACCACGTTTAAAAATGGGATGTATTAGCTAGGCACGCAAACTAATAAAACTATGCAATAGTCATTTATTATTTGTTTGGATATGTAAAAATCGTGTCCTAAATTTCTTCTATTGTTTTGTTTAGGGGTGGGCCGGATCCGGATATCCAGCTTTTTTAAGGTATCTGGATCCGGCCGGATCCGTCTTTTCATTATCCGGATCCGGATCCGCTCCACCCGGATATCCGGATTTAGGATATCCGTAAAAATAACCGGATATCCGGCGGATATCCGGATCCGGTTTTTTTATATAAATTCTTTTTTATTAATATAAAATTAAAGAAAAATATTTAAAAACAAATAATTTAACATAAATAATTAAAAATATTATTAAAATTATTATTATTATATAAAAGATAATAAAAATTATTAATAAAATTTAAATAATAGTAATAAAATATTAAAAAAATATTAATAAAATTTAAATAATAGTAATAAAATATTAAAAAATATTATTATAATATAAAATATCCCGGATCCGGATATCCGGCTTTAATTTTTCTATTATCCGGATCCGGATCCGCTTTTTCATTATCCGGATCCGGATCCGCTTTTTCATTATCCGGATCCGGATCCGCCCCACCCGGATATCCTGTTTTTCGGAGCGGATCGGAGCGGATCCCAAATCGGATCCCGGATCCCAGATAATTGGTCTCACCCCTAGTTTTGTTACGTAAATACCAAAAGAAACCTTTCACGGGATATATAGCTTCCACTTTCTAGGTATAGTCGTATAGATTACTATCACAACAATTTATAAATTCTAGTTTCTTTTCTTTTTTTTGAAGTAAAGAAATCTTCATTATATATTATAGATTAAAAATGCCTTTTTAACAATTGAATATGTGATTTTTTTTTTAATTCACCAAAGGTCATTAACGAATCCAATTTCTTATTTTTGGAAAATAGAGTTAACTATTTGTACTACTTTTATCTCTTCAAACAACTAAATTTTTTGGTTTTATGTTATAGTAAGAAAGAATTACAACGCAATGTTGGGTGTGTGATAATTACTAAAACAATGTCCTAAACAGTGTCTTGATGAATAAAACGTTGGAAATGTTATTTTTAGGCACATATAGGTTTGTTAACATTAGTTAGCTGTTTTTTTGTTGTACTATTAATTTTTTTTAGTATGTGTAAAGCTTTATATATAATTAACAATTTCATCTTTCTTTTCAATTTGCAGGGTTCTTCTTCTTCTTTTTTTCTCTAAACCGGAAAAAAAGAAAAGAAGAAAAGAACATGGATATGCATTCTTTTCTAAACTCATGCTTTCTTTTGGTCCTCCTCTGTCTTCTTAATATTTCCACCATTAACTCAGCGAAGCCATTAAAACAAGAAACGGTGCTTTTTGGTGGGAAGTTTCCGGCTTTGTATGTTATTGGAGATTCATTGGTTGATTCAGGAAACAATAATTATCTTGCGACAAAGGTCAAATCGAATTTTACACCTTATGGTTCTGACTTTGAAGGTGGTAAAGCTACCGGACGTTTTAGCAATGGCAAAACAATTGCTGATTATATTGGTAAGAACAAAAAAGAATTATGGTGATAACGTAACGTTTTAAATAACTAACTCTTTTAGAAGGATTTATGTTCTTTTCTTTCCCCTCAAGATAGAATTATATTGCAGTAAGAAGGATTATGTTCTATCGTGTGATTAATTACGTAAAAAATTAATTTATTGTTACTTAGTTATTATTAGTATTCGACATAAATGGTGAAAATTAAGCAACGTGGGAAAAATATTATTGGGATGATAATTTGTTATATATATTTCTAATAAATTTATATATATATATAATTAATTTCTGATGTTTAAATTATTGAAGAAGTCATAAACGTGTTCCTGTTATGTTTATTTGATTCAGCTATCTATTATGGTCTTCCTTTGGTTCCTGCTTACATGGGATTATCTGAAGAAGAAAAGAATAATATTACAACTGGTATTAACTATGCTTCTGCTAGTTGTGGGATTCTTCCTGACACAGGAAAGTTAATGGTAAGTTATAATATTCTACAAAAACAAATCTTTGCATTATTGGTTTAAAAAAAAAAAGGAGTCTAATGGGTTTTATTTGATTCTTTGTATATATGGACAGGGAAAATGTCTCTCGTTAAGTGTCCAAGTCGATCTGTTCAAGGAGACCATCGCAAATAATCTGAAGAAGAACTTCAAGAAGTCAGAGCTCCGTAAACACTTGGCTGAGTCGTTGTTTATGACCGCAATTGGGGTTAACGATTACGCGTTCTTTTTCAATATGACAACCGATGCGAATGAGTTTGCAAACAAGCTTCTTCATGATTACTTGATACAAATAGAGGTAAAAGGATTTTCATTTTTCTTTCCTTGGCCACTAGATAATTTAGTTTTGGGTCACATATTTGCTATTGATTTAATTCAGATAAAGCGAATAAAGCGATCTGAACCATACAATTTCAAAACCAAAATGAGTTTCTAGTTAGAATTGCTATATTTTTAGATTTTCAGAAACCTATATAATTAGTTTAAATGCTAAATATTTAAACTAAATGGTGTCAAACTAATAATAGCAAACCAAAATATTTTTAGTTTTCTGGATGATAGTCTTAGGTTGAGCTTTAACTTTTTTTTTCTTAATGTTAATGAAGACACATTTTACTAAAAAGATTTTGATTTTGTTGCAGAGATTGCACAAGTTAGGAGCAAGAAAGTTCTTCATCAACAACATTAAACCATTAGGATGTTACCCAAATATGGTAGCTAAGACCGTGCCACGTGGAAGCTGCAACGATCCTTTGAACCTTGCGATCAGCATATTCAACACTAAGCTTAGAAAAAGCTTGTCTCATATGACGCAAAAATTCATAAAGACATCCTTTTTATACTCCGATTACTTCAACTACATGTTGGGACTAAGAGGACCATCAAGCAATCAAGTTGGTTCCAGTCTACTGAACGTGACTAGCCCGTGTTGTCCTGACGTTTATGATGGAGGTTTAATCACAAGCTGCTCGCCCGGTTCGATCGCGTGTAAGGCACCCGATACTCATATTTTCTTTGATCCGTTTCATCCTACTCAATTGGCGAATTATATGTACGCGATTGCATGTTTCCACGAGAGGAGTATTTGCCATGTGCTGAAAAATTAACTTTAGTCGGCAACAATCTTTTTTGTTACCCTTGTCTTAAACACCAATTTAGTTGTTGTTTCTTGCTTTCATCATCACTCCTTTGAAACAATTTGCTATTGTAACTTTTAAGATTACCAATTTGGCATACTTGGGGATTAAGCACTCTATTTTTTTTTTTGTTTATTATGTTGTATTTTATTACTTAAGTTTGTCCCTTTCAATAAAAAATTAAATAAATTAATAATTATAAATTCAAAGCTAAATCAACTGAAAACCATGATAAAAGAAAAATGTGTATGTAGAAGATATCATACGCCTTTTTCTAATTAAAATTACAAATTCACATAGTTAATTCTTATATATAGAAGATACCAAGCGTATTTTTATTTAATATGAATTATATTTTGTTATGCTAAATTAATTTTTTGGTTATGTTAAATATGCGACTTGATATTATATCACCCATAAATTTGTAATTTGAACCACAAGGTGGTGCATATATCATGAACCGGAAAGAAATAGAAAACCAGACCATAAATTTTAGTCGAACCAAAAAGTAGAAAATCGGTAATTGATATTAGAATGCCAGAGACAAACAAATATATTTACCTCTGTTGTCTAATGCTATATTCTCTCCTTCCTTAATTATATACTTGGATTGTAAATTTGGCTCCTAGTTCTATATATGAAGGAACATATCCAAGGTATGTGGTATATATTAACTTAATCACTCACTTGTTTCGTATCCAAAACAAGAGTTGTTGAAATCTTCAGACACACTAACTATTCGGCTCCGGGTTCTATCAAGATCCAAAGTATGTGGTATGAACTTAGTCATTCTATATTTATTATTTAATGCTATAAATAGCATTTATTTTCTCCATCTTCCTTTTATTTAAAGATTCTGGTTTTTTTACTTTTCGTTTCACTTCTATTCAGTATCTTCCTCCTACTATTCATCTAGTGCTCTAATTTCCTTACGCAGCTCCAAATTTAAACACAAGTGATTTTGTCTTAGACTGTGTCGTGTGATAAGGTAGCGACGTTAATAAATCTTTTGGTGCATTTCATAAATTTCCATTAGATTTTTTTTTTTTTTTACGATTAAAAGCCTAACAATATTTGATAGAAGTACCTAGGATCTCGAAGTTTGATTAGTTGATTAAGCTTCCACAATATAAATATATATATATATATATATATTTGCATGGTGTATTTTTATTATTTTTAGTGTGTTTGATGCTTTCTAAATCGAGTATATTTAACTTGTTCGTCGTCATGGTTTTCATTTTGCAGGGTTTATTTCTTTTAAACTCTTTTTTTTTTTTTAACCGGGAATAAATAAAGAAATGGGTTTGCCTTGTTCTCTGAAGTCATACCTTCTTTTGCTCCTCCTGTCTTTTCTCAATTTCTCCATAATTTACTCATCGAAGCCAAAAGAAGAAGCCGTGCTTTTTGGCGGGAACTTTCCGGCTTTTTATGTTATTGGAGATTCATTGGTTGATCCAGGAAACAATAATCATCTTCCGACAATGATCAGAGCGAATTATCCACCTTATGGTTCTGACTTTGAAGGAGGCAAAGCTACCGGACGTTTTAGTAATGGCAAAACAATTGCTGATTACATTGGTATAGTAAATAGAATTATGAACGTTTTGTATTTCTAATTATTCTTTAAGGAGGACATATGGTCTAGGTCTCGTGATTTAAAAAATAACAAAATATATTTTAAATCCAAAATTTAAAACTATTGAAAGTCTAAACTATTGAAAGTTTTAAACGTTGTCTTGTATGTTGTTTGATTCAGCTATTTATTATAAGCTTCCTTTGGTTCCTGCTTATTTGGGATTATCTGAAGACCGGAAGGACACTATCTCAACTGGTATGAACTATGCTTCTGCTGGCTGTGGGATTCTTCGTCTCACAGGAAAGATAGCGGTAAGTTTCACTATTCTAAAAAAAAAAAGATCTTTGCGTTCGGTTTCGAAAAAAGCTAATGGGCTTTATTTGATACTTTTATGAGAAGGGAAAATGTCTCTCGTTGAGCAAACAAGTCGATATGTTCGAAGAAACCATCGAAAAGCATTTGAAGACGAATTTCAAAACGCCATATGAGCTGAGAGAACACTTGGCTCACTCGTTGTTCATGACCGTGATTGGGGTTAACGACTATGCATTCTTCTATACTAGGTTAACCGATGCGAATGATTTCGCAGACAAGCTTCTTCATAAGTTCTTGAAAAAAATAGAGGTAAAAGGGTTTTCACAAAAAAATTTCCTTGAGCACTACATTATTTACTTTCGTGTAATAATATTAATCAAGATACATTCTACTAAAGATTTTGATTTTTTTTTGTAGAAATTGCATAAGTTAGGAGCAAGAAAGTTCTTCATCAACAACATTAAACCATTAGGATGTTACCCAAATATGGTAGCTAAGACGGTACCACGCGGAAGCTGCAACGAACGTGTAAACCTTGCTATAAGCATTTACAACGATAAGCTTAGAAGAAGCCTCCCTGTTATGAAGAAAAAATTACACAACATATCTTTTTTATACTCTGATTACTTCAAGTTCATGTTGGGACTAAGAGGACCATCGACCAATCAATATAGTTCGAATCTATTGAACACGACAGGCCCGTGTTGTCCTTTAGATTATGATGGAAGTTTAACTTCAAGTTGCAAGCGCAGGTCGAAAACGTGTAAGGCACCAGATTCTACTCATATTTTCTTTGATCCGCGTCATCCGACTCAGTTGGCGAATTTCATGTACTCCATTGCCTGTTTCGACGAGAGAACTATTTGCCATGTGGTGTGATATAAATTTAACATGCAACAATCTTTAGAATAACACCAATTTAGTTGTTGTTTATTTCTTTCATCATGAATTTTTTACAACATTTTTCTACCAAGACTTGACGTTTTTTGAATATTGAATTCAACGTGATTACTTTTGGATTGATTTCTCCAAGGTGATCATATCCATGTTCTAAAAATAGGTCACTCAAGCGATCAAAACTCAAAAGTATATATAGTGAGAAGAAAAAAAACTCGGTTATGCGAATTTAAGTGGAGGCTTTATTTGGTTGGATCCTTTTCAGATTTGTGTACATTTCTTACATGGACAATTATTATGAAAAACTAAAGCTTTAATTTGTGATTTTTACATTCTTAGACTACATCTAAAATAATTATTTTACCTATTTCTTGTTTTTATATTTGGCTTTTATATTACTAAGAAGTTGCGTCTATCATTTCAGTTTTTTTTTTTTTTACTTCTTAATTTAAGAATAATAATTTGTTGAAGAAAAAGAAGAAGTCATAATTCATATACACTTAACATACGAAAGCTTCAAAGGTTCAAAATTTTGGTTTACATGTAAATCATTAAATAAGCCGTTACAACGTCAAAGAAAAGAAAAAACAAACTACAAATGCAAGTTAACCACACCATATAATAGACATATTTCTCTTTATATTATAAGGTTATATATCTATAGAGATATTCATATGTGGAGTCTGGCATGTTTATTATTATTTCAGAATTATAATTAGTTGTTCTTGGGAGGATGATGCTTAGCTCTCCAATAATCAGCAGTGTAAGCAACGAGTCCATCCTCTTCAACACTTTTGCTTGCTTTTCTCTCTGTCTCTCTATTGCCTCTCTTCATTGTCGTTTCTTCTTCTTCTTCTTTTCCATCCTCTTCAACACCTTTGCTTGAGTTTCTCTCTATCTCTCTATTTCCTCTCTCCATCCTTGTTTCTTCAACTTCGTCTTCACTTGCTATCATCAATTTTCTTCCTCCTATCATCTTCTTTATCACATCACCATATTCAGTCGTCGCCTGCTTTAACAGTTATCCAACGGTTTTAGTGTATACTTGTTTGCTGTTTACAAAAAAAAAAAAAAAAAAAAAAAAAAAAGGTGTATACTTGTTTGCTTATAGGAAAAAACAACATAAAAGCTTCTTTTGATACTCAAAGAAATAGTAAAAGTTTAAAAATTTATGAAATGAAAGATGTAATCATTGAAGAAAAAAAATATAACGTCAAAATGTAAAAAAATAATTATTTTGTTTTTTTCATGAAAGTAGGAAAATTTAATATAGAGGATTGATTAGAAAAACATGAATTTTTTTTAAAATGAAACTAAAATTATGTTGTTTTTCAAGATACCGATTTTTAATATACCTTGGCAGTTGAAACGAAGTCATGGCTTGACTGTTGATTCCCATCTTCTAATAATGAAGAAAACAAAGAACAAACAATTAGGTTATTATTTGCTAACACTTGAGCACTGATTCTAGTAAGACTAGAATTTTCATGCATGCATGTGTAAAATTATGCATGCAAACCAGAAGTAAAATATAGTTTAAAGAAATAGGTTTTCCTTTTTATGCTTTAAATTGGTTTGAGTATCGAAATTTAAAGACTATGTATAGGCTTTTATGATTTTGCTCTTTTAGATGCAACAAATTAAAAAGATAGTGTGCGTAGAGAGAGACACAAACCATGAAGTGAATATCGAAAGGAGAAACATAAAAGAAGAACGATCAACACACATAGAATCTTTGACAAAGTAGTCATGACTCTTTTATATTCTCCTTCACCTCTTTTAAAACTTGATATTTTTCTTTAGTTTTCTGATAATATTTCCTTACAATTTAAGCAGGAGGTCGAATTAGTAAAAAGAAGAGATGAGTCTATATATAGAGATCATCGACCATATGGTTTTAAGTTCGTGTATCTATAATTAGTCCTTAACCATGTGTCTCTATTAACGTGTAAGGTATGGATTCTTACGATGAAAAGTTGTACTTGTAAATATTTATAAATTACAATTTCTGCCATAACGTCCATATTCGAACCACTCGAATATATTTATAATTAACACACATGTATATCTTATATGTTACATTGATTTCTTTGATTTCTTTGATTGCTTCCGTTTATACTTCCATCAAGCCAAGGATCGTAACAAATAAATAAATGTAGTGAATAATTTCCAACAAGAATCTATTTACGGGTTCAAAATGGTAATAGTTGAATGAGTTGATGGAACAAGGAGAATAGACGTGGTTAGTCCAGAATGTATGAAACAAATATTGCTGAACATTTTAAACAAAATTCTAATAGTGAGTGCGATGAAAATATAATTATTAAATTTTAACTATTTTCTAACATTTTTAGTGGTCAAAACTTGTATAGGTAGATAAAATTTAAGTTATATTAATTTTTTTTTTAAGAATTAGTATATTTTTAAAAACATTGTCCTTCTACTGATCTATAGACCATATTGTTCAAATATAATTGATATAAAGTACAGTAATATTTCTTAAATGTTAGGACCTAGGAGGTCAAAAGACTCAAAACTAGCTATGTCAACAACAATTCTTTCTTCCCATGATTTTTTTAATTATATTCAAGTATTCTCGCAAATTGATAAAACAAAGGGAGACGAGTCTGCATAAATGCTCGAGTTAGCACATGTTTCTCTATTTTGTGGAAAGTAATTTGTTAATTTCAATGCCTTAATTTCTATTTCTGCTTTTTAAATCAGTAGATATCTCATAATCCTTTCTTTCCCTGAAAGAGTCCTCGGTAATTATTGTACGGCCCAATCTAGAAGAATAAGCTGAACTTAGTTCTTTTTTTCTCTGATAAAATGAAGTTTATGAAAAATACATGATTCATGTGTCTTAAATTTCCAGAAACTAAGACATCCATCTTGTTCTAAAGTTTGATGAACAAAAATTTTTGCTTTGAAAAATCTCTAAACATCGAAAAATGGAGACTGAAACGTGGTCCGTTAAAGATTGGTATATGTACAGGTCCGGTCCGGAGGGCAAGCAAGTGAAGCCACCGCTTAGGGTCTCACATTGTTAAACACTTTTTTTGGGAGAATTTTTTTTTTTTTTACATTAACAAAAAGGCCCAAATTGTTAATTATGCGTAGGGCATTAAAAAAAATTTAGAAACTTTGGACCGGATGTAAACAAGAAAACAACATTACACGTAAATTGTAATTCATACATTTGCGTGCTTTGTGCTTGTCTAGCTCCTCCACACCAGCTAACGATGAACCACCACACATTTTTAACATTCAAGACTTATGTTTCTATATATATATATCTTTTGTATATACTAACTTACTATTTATAGATATTATATTATACCCAATACAAGCCCATACAATTATCTAAATTAAGTGGTTTTCATTTACCAATTTGGATACAACTTTAGATATCTAATATCTAACATAACTTTTTTTTTTTTTTTCTGTTCTTAATCCTCTTTTTAGGGGGTAAATTTTCTGTTATTAGTCATAATTATTCAAACACTTCCAAAAAAGTTTTACACCTTGTTCCGATAATAATTTTGTTCAATAGACCATTCATAAATTCCTAAGTTGGATCAAAAAATAAGACAAATTAACACCATTTGCATCATTTTATTATTCTTAAAAGAAAATTGCAATTTTTTTTGTTTTTTCGGGTTATACGCAAAAATTAACATAAAAAGGGAAAATTGCAAAATTAGTTGAAGACGATGAGATGTCGGTAACTATATATGTTTTAGTTAAATTAGTTAATGGGTATGGAGTGTATAACGTATAATTTCGATATTTCCGATAATTGGCAATCGTGTATCTTCGATAGAATCAACATTGTTGTATTTTATTTAGTCCACATGACCCCTTCCACCAAGACCTTCCTATGTTGCATGGAAACGGGAGCGGGTACGCGGAAACGGAATCGTTTAGAAACGCTGAAGCGATTTTTTAGAAAATTTTACGGAAGCGGTACGCGATGGAAGCGTATAGTATATATAAAGAATATATATATATGTATATATATAACTATATATTAAACATTATATCATATTACAAGTTATATTAACCCCATAAATCTAATAAATAAATTTTAAAAACTAAATTTAAAAATTAAACCAATTTTTACAACAAACAAAATCAAATAATTCAAGAAAAAAATTATAACACTATATTCATTCTTTTTTAAAATAACATCAAACAAAATCGTTTCAAATTATGTATATTATAGGTAAAAATATGATCAAACTCAAGTCTCTCGAAATTAATCTAAATTAATTAATCATTTATAATATCTCTCACATATTAGATTCATGTCATTGCTATTTTCTAAACATGATTTTGTTAAAAATAAAATACAAAGATTAGTATGCAAAATTTTTAGTTTGAGTTTGTTTGATTAAAAATAATAATTTCATGTTTATTTGTAAAATTGAATTTATAAAATGGAAGCGCAAGCTTCCAAACCGGAATCGTAAGCTTCCAACGAGCTTCCAAAGTTGAATTTTTGGAAACACGATGGAAGCGAGATTCCGAAAGCTTCCAAGAGCTTCCGATTCCGACTAAAATTCCGAAGCGGGAAGCGGACCTCCGACGAAGATTCCGTGCTTCCTAGAGACCTTCACATCATTTCTAAATCAATAAACTTTTAATTTTATTTTGTCTTGGTTTGTATGTGACTTTATTTTGTCTTGGTTTGTATGTGACTTTAATTTTATACTCTACTATTCAATCTTGAAATGGGCTATTTCATGCGAACATTCCCCAATCATAATAATCTTTAAATTGACTTTATACTGGCCGTAGGCCCATAATGGGTTAACGTATAGGCCCATAATAGGTTAACGTATAGGCCCATATGCGGACATTTCTTATAGTGTGGACTGTGATGAATTAGTTTGCGTGTAGTTTCGGTTTAGCTTTTCAAGGTTTGGTTTTTATTTTATTTTTAGAAAATGAATTTACGTAAATTATTTGTAAATCACTTTGCTTTAATTCAAACCCTTGTTCAAAAACGCGGACTAGGCGGCCGATTAGTCGCCGGCGAGGCGCTCGGCGGTGGTGGACCGTTGCGATTTGTCCAAATCGGCCAACAAATCTGAGTTTCAGAAAAAAATTCATATTTTGCTTTGATTTAAGTTAGAAATCGATAGTTAACTAATAGATCTATCATAATTTGGTATAAACCTAAAAGAAAAACATGAAAACGATGGAATTGTGAAAAAAAACAAAAAAACGCAGAAACTAGGGTTTTGTTGTCGCGGGGAGAAAGGAAGGGGACGGGGGCAATTTTGTAAATTCGCGATTCTTAAAAAAAAAAAGAGATAAATATCAAAATTGAGCATCGAACCCTCGTTCCCAAGGTCAAATGAAGGAGACATGCCACTGTACCACGTTATAATCATTGTACACTTACGTTTTTTTAATATATATACATAAATCTAAATTAAAAGTATCTAAAGTTAATCCCCAAGTAATCCCGTTTAATCCCTGAGTAATCCCGCTAGGCGCTAGGCCCACCCCGGCCGCCCGACTAGCGCCTAGCGTTTATTAGAACAAGGATTCAAACTAATAAAATATAAATTAAAATATGTATATGTAATTTTAAATATAAGTTTTAATCGATTTCAGTTTGGCTTGTTAATACATAAAATCTTGATTTCCGTTTTTTTTTATAATTTGATTACATAAATTCTTGATTACAATTTGATTTGCTTTTTTTGTTTGTTTTTTATAATTGTTTCCACGCGCAACAGAGGCGCGTGTGAATCAAACGGATAATCCTACGGTATTGATGAAATGGCTTCTCGTAGACCTCACAATCTCAAAACATCTCTTCTCTTATACGCTCTTCTTCTAGAAACCTCTCTTACCTTCACTCTCCTTAAACCTTTTATAGGGTTTTTAGGTTACTCTTTGTTCAACTACTACTACTACAAACTCTTCTCTCTTTAGAGATTGAGAGATTTGACAAATCTCAAATCTTTCCTTCACAACTTTCATTCTAATGGCTCCAGCTTTGAGTAGAAGTCTCTACACAACTCCTTTGACTTCAGTTCCAATCACTCCTCTCTCTTCTCGTCTCTCTCATCTGAGAAGCTCGTTTCTGCCTCGCGGCGGCGCTCTAAGAACCGACCTTTCGTGTAGTTGGAATCTCGAGAAAAGATGTAATCGATTCGCCGTGAAGTGTGACGCCGCCGTGGCGGAGAAAGAAACGACTGAAGAAGGTTCCGGTGAGAAGTTTGAGTACCAAGCTGAGGTGGGTTCTCTTTCATATCTCCTAAAGTTTCAAACTTTTTTTCTGGGCATCGATTGGATTTGTGATGGGAATTTAAAGTTTTAAGATTTGATTGTTTGAATCTCATTTGCAGGTTAGTAGATTGTTGGATTTGATTGTTCATAGCTTATACAGTCACAAGGAGGTATTTCTCAGGGAGCTTGTAAGGTTAGTCAATTTTGATGGATTGTTTTAGAATTGATTTGTTTGTTTCTGTCAAAATCTGATTTTGGATGTGTTTGTATATCTTCAGTAATGCAAGTGATGCTTTGGATAAGCTGAGGTTCTTGAGTGTAACAGAGCCTTCTTTGCTTGGAGATGGTGGAGATCTTGAGATTAGGATTAAGCCTGATCCTGATAACGGCACTATTACCATAACGTATGAGTGAATTCTCATCTTTCTTTTGTTACTTGAGTTTTGAGAATTATACAGAACTGTTTACTTAAAGTGGTTGGATGTGAATATGCAGCGATACTGGTATTGGAATGACAAAGGAAGAACTTATAGACTGTCTTGGAACTATTGCTCAAAGTGGTACTTCGAAATTCTTGAAGGCTCTTAAGGTTTTTTTCCCCATCTCTTTGAAAATTAGTTGCTAGCATTGTGAAGTTTTCAGACTCATTGTACTAATATCTCTCTTTATCTAGGAAAACAAGGACCTCGGTGCTGACAATGGTTTGATAGGACAATTTGGTGTTGGGTTTTACTCTGCTTTCTTAGTTGCTGAAAAGGTGAAGACTTTCAACATTTGTTTCTTCTCTTCTGGTGAATGTATTTATTACGAGGAATGGACTTACAATTGTCTTTGCTTTCAGGTTGTTGTGTCTACCAAAAGCCCCAAGTCTGACAAGCAATATGTTTGGGAATCGGTTGCCGATAGTAGCTCGTACGTGATCAGAGAAGAAACAGACCCTGAAAACATTCTACGCCGTGGAACACAAATCACCTTGTATCTGAGGGTGCGTTTCTCTATTCAATCATTCTTCGATTTGATGTGTCTAATATTGAGATCTCTTATAGTTTGTTTGACTGCTTTTTCCTGGCTGCAGGAGGATGATAAATACGAATTTGCGGAGTCTACGAGGATCAAGAACCTTGTGAAGAATTACTCTCAGTTCGTTGGGTTTCCTATCTATACATGGCAGGAGAAATCAAGGACTATAGAGGTGAGGATGACAGTTTTGTCTTTGTAATCATATTAGTGTATTCAAATTGCTAATATGGTTTGACGATTTGTAACTTGTTGTAGGTTGAAGAGGAAGAACCAGCTAAGGAAGGAGAAGAGGTAAAAAATTTATGGAGTTTAAATTGTGTGTAACAAACAGTCACAACCAAATACTGTCCTAGATTTTTGTTTACTGATTTGAATTGGAAACTTGTTTGTTTCCAGGGTGAGCCAAAGAAAAAGAAGACCACTAAAACTGAGAAGTATTGGGATTGGGAACTAGCCAACGAGACAAAACCGCTATGGGTAATGCCTTGGAGCTGGAACCTGTGTTTTGTACTCTTCGTTCAACATGTTTACTGATTATTTTGTGTTTTTGAATAGATGCGCAATTCGAAGGAAGTGGAAAAAGGAGAGTACAATGAGTTCTACAAAAAGGCTTTCAATGAGTTCTTGGATCCACTTGCTCACACACACTTCACAACTGAGGTCCTTATACTTATACATTATACGATATATATTTATGTCAATTTATGAATTCTTCAACTGGCCCTTACTAGTTTCTGTATTGTCTTGATTCTCAAAGGGTGAGGTTGAGTTCAGGAGTATTTTGTACATCCCTGGGATGGGTCCCCTTAACAATGAGGATGTTACAAACCCGAAAACAAAGAACATTCGTCTCTACGTGAAGCGTGTGTTTATCTCTGATGATTTTGATGGAGAGCTTGTGAGTTCTATTTGGTTCTTTCTTTTGTAGAAATCTCTTTAAATTTGTTGTTCGATATATTATCTGATTATGTTTTGTAATCTGTTTGCAGTTCCCGAGATATTTGAGCTTTGTGAAGGGAGTGGTGGACTCTGATGATCTTCCTCTTAATGTTTCCCGTGAAATTCTCCAAGAAAGCAGAATTGTAAGTGGTGCAACAATTAGTGATACAAATGTTTATCATATAATATGAATTTCAACTCCTAAGTATAATATCTTTCTTGATAATGTTCAGGTTAGAATCATGAGAAAGAGGCTCATTAGAAAAACCTTTGACATGATACAAGAAATCTCCGAAAGTGAAAACAAAGAGGTATGTATCTCATTAGTCTAATTTTGTTCTTTTAAGCCCATTTGAGGGCCCGTAATATTCATGTGGTACAATCGATTCTAGGATTACAAGAAATTCTGGGAGAACTTTGGTAGATTCCTGAAATTGGGTTGTATTGAAGACACCGGTAACCACAAGCGTATTACACCGCTACTCAGATTCTACAGTTCCAAGAATGAAGAAGAATTGACAAGCTTGGATGATTATATCGAGAACATGGGAGAGAACCAAAAGGCGATCTACTACCTCGCCACTGATAGTCTTAAAAGTGCCAAGTCTGCCCCTTTCTTGGAGAAATTAATCCAAAAAGATATTGAGGTATATGCTTCAAGATTAGTTTTTCAACTTCGAGATTTTGTTTTGATTTGACTTTCTCACCACTTGTTTTTGTTAATTATAGGTTCTATACTTGGTTGAACCAATCGATGAAGTTGCGATTCAGAATTTGCAAACCTACAAAGAAAAGAAATTCGTCGATATCAGCAAAGAAGATTTGGAACTCGGTAAGTATTGTTTAGCACTGCATACTGCCCGCACATTTCTCTCAACCATTTGTTTGTAACAAAACGTGTCCATTCTCGCAGGAGATGAAGATGAAGTAAAGGACAGGGAAGCTAAACAAGAGTTTAACCTTCTCTGTGACTGGATAAAACAGCAGCTCGGTGACAAAGTTGCAAAAGTCCAAGTCTCAAATCGTTTGAGCTCTTCTCCTTGTGTGCTTGTTTCAGGCAAATTTGGGTGGTCAGCTAATATGGAAAGGTTAGTATTTCAGCAAAAGCTTTATAAAACAAAATAGACATATCATAAAACTTATGTGCTTGTTCATTGTGAAAGGCTAATGAAGGCACAGGCTCTTGGAGACACTTCAAGCCTGGAGTTCATGAGAGGTAGGAGAATACTAGAGATCAATCCAGATCATGCCATCATCAAAGACTTGAACGTAAGTGTGTGCTACAATATTCTCTCCGGAAATCTATCGGCTCAGAGATCTTGAAGCCTTTTCATTTTTGTATTCTTTTGGTTCAGGCTGCTTGTAAGAATGCACCAGAGAGCACTGAAGCAACAAGAGTGGTCGATCTCTTGTATGACACTGCTATAATCTCAAGTGGATTCACTGTAAGAAATCTAAAACCTTTCTTGTTCCTCAGTAAAAGTCTTGGACCTTTTTTTTTACTCACTTTTGATTTGTTTGTTGAACAGCCTGATAGCCCGGCCGAGCTCGGGAACAAGATTTATGAGATGATGGCAATGGCGGTTGGAGGAAGATGGGGCAGAGTTGAAGAAGAAGAAGAAAGCTCGACTGTGAATGAAGGAGATGACAAAAGTGGAGAAACAGAGGTAGTTGAACCATCTGAAGTTAGGGCAGAGAGTGATCCTTGGCAAGATTGATCCTTTTTTACCTTCTTTTGTTTCCAGTGAATTTTTTTTACACAAAACGCTTTATCTTCTTCATTAGCAGTATCATGGGCCTAACCGCCTAAGGAAAGCCCATAATTAAATCATGAACGAGATTTATCCAATATTTGTAGTTTGTTTTTGGATAATTAAAATAATTTTAGAGAAATTACACAAAAAAAGGCTTGTAACAAAAGTATTTACGATTATTTGAAGGAAAATCAAGAGGCTGAATTTTTCTTTTTCAAAATTCCTACTTGCATTTTTTTATTCCAAAAAGTACTTGCATTTTGAATTGTGTTACATTATGAATCTATATATTATTTATTTGGTAATAATTTTGTAGAGAAATTCTGATTTTTACTTAAAATCTATATGTTCAACAAGTGGTTTAAGATCATTTGTTACAAATTACAATCTTATAAATTGAAAATGAAAACATTTTCCCTAAAGCCTTGATGATAAGAAAGGGTCTTCTCAGTTTTCACTTTCCTCAATGGCTTCTTCTAAAGCTTATTACAAAATCTTCGCCATTACCGTTCTCCTTCTCTCCTTGACATTAATCTCTCTTGCCGGTAATGCTGAAGACACAGACGTAAAGGAATGCAAAACTGAATATAATCCAGAGATTCATCATGCCACAACAACAAAGAAACACAAAAGACTTAAACTCAAAGCAATCATATCAATTTCTCGGCGAGCATTAGCGGTGTTTGCTTACCGTTGTTAATTCGTTCCGATCTTTCTTTAGGAATTAGGACCTAACCGACATATGTTTTGATCGCTAGAGGTTTAGCTTCGGGTGCTATTTTGGAGACCGGTGTTATGCTCGTGTTACCGGACTCTTTCGATTATTTAACGTCTGAGTTGTTGCCTGAAAATCCATGGAAGAAGTTTCCTTTCACCACTTTCATCGTGATGGCCTCGGATCTGTTTCCTTTTATGTTCAATTTGTATGCGATGAGTTTGTATAAGAAGATGACTAGTGATATGGATAAACAAGATGAGGTCAACGATGATAACACAAGTCAACGTCGTAGGAATAGATATAGTCTTAGTAGTAATCTTTGAGGTACAAATACAATTTGGTTTATATAAAATTTTCTCATTTCTCATTTTATAATCGACGTTAGAGATCGATTTCCTCTAATCGACGTTGTAGCTAGAGTATAAATTAGGGTAGACTTTGGCTTAGAATTTCAGCTATTAATAAAAAAAAACGGTAATGATGTAATGTAGTCATTTTGGTGCAGATGTTTGGACTAGGTATGGGAGTCTACCTGATCGTTATCGGTTTCGCGATGGGGGCTTCAGTTAACCAATGTACCATACGATCACTTATTGTATCGCTTTCTTTGATTCTTTCTACCACCTCCTTAAAGGAATGAGACTCGGTGGTTGCATTTTTCAAGTAAATTCGTCTCTAAATCCATTGCTAAATATACATATTGATTTGATAGTAATCAAACAATCGATCTTACATATTTTTCTTTATGTTTTTTGTTTATTATATAGGCGCAACAGAAAACGAACTGGATAATGGTAGTATTGTTGAGATTGAGTTCTTGATTAAATCTGCAACAAAGGAGAAAGCTTTAGTGAGAAGAAGAAGAAGAAGAAGAAGAAGAACAGAGCAAAGAGAAGAAGATGTCGAAAAATATGTCAACGACAAAGAGGACAGTCAACACAAGAAGAGACAAGTTGGGCTTGTGTTGTTTTGTAAGAATAAGTGATTGGGCTAAATGTTTTGTTAGTTAAGGACTAGCTTACTAGAGTTGTCAAGTGTAGTGGTTAAGAGTTGTTGTTGTGTATGGGTTAGTAGTTTAACATTGCTTGTGTAAGAGAGTCTAGAACTAGGAGTAAGGTCCAAGTGCAAGTGTGTGTATGTGTATGTAGTAAGTAGAAGTAGAAGTAAAGTAGTATAAGTATGCTTGTATGTGTGATGAGAAAAGGATCCTTTGATCCAATAAACAAAATGTAGACAATTAATGGTTTCTCTCTTTAATTCTCTCTTACCAAACGTTTTATGTCTTTGTGTTAAAGCAAGAAACAAACCAAAGACTAGAGAGAATGAGAGTTAAGGTTCTCTTTGTGCTTGTGTTAAAGTGAGTGAGTGATACAAAGCATTAAAGAGAACAAAGAGAGAATAAAGATGGTGAACCTCTAAAGGTTAAATAGAGGAAGAACCCCAAATGTCAACAAGTATGTACCTTTTCGATCGCATCAGCGTGTGGGACTGATTTAGGGCTGAAAATACAAAAAATATTAGATGAGGCAAGCCCGACCGCGTTGATGGTGGCTGGGGTCTCGAAAGCATGTTCCGCGGGACTATTAATCTATATCGCCTTTGTTAATATCTGGCCTCTAAGAGGGGACATGAAACTTCGGTCATGTGCCTATGTTGCTGTCTTATAGGTGCTGGAGGAATGTATCCCAAAAATGAGATATTTGGGAAAATCAATACTATGAAAATTGTAAAACTCTACATTAGGTCTCACTTTGAAGAAGCTGTTTTGTTTCCCCTTCCTATCTCTTTCTCTCTCACCAATTACTCATACATTTAACCACCCCTCTCACTGCTTAACCAAGCAAGTGGTTAAAACTAAATATATATTTATTCTTGGTAAAAAAGCATTTGGTGGAAAGGAATAAAAACTGCAAATTATGAAACATGAATGTTTTCATACACTAACCACATAAATAACAGTAGACACGATTATCTCGTAGTGCGTGTATAGGCTTTCCTCCACCAAAAACGTTGGTACAATCAACAACTGAGTCTACACAAGGAAATAGAGTATCTTGTTGTGCGGTGTCTCCAGGAGGCTCTAACAAGAGAACAATTTGATTCCTCGATTTCAAACAATGAAGAACCCTGTACAACTCAGGGTGTTGTTTTGCGACAACCATATAATTCATGGGAAAGCTCACTGCTAAGAAAGAAACAATCTCTGCAGTCATCCTCCAAACACACGAATCATCACCCGGTGAAACTATAGATAAACAAGAGACCTAGATTACTACAGACATATATAATAAGTAGAAGAAACGACAAGAGTGTAAGTTAATAAGTAAAGGAATATTCATTCACCTTCAGGATCGTATGCGATATTGGCCATGGACAAGGCATCTATGTCGTGGTACAATTTGTCACCAAAGGCCATGATTGACAGATGACCATGAAAACCCATTTTATGGAGAGCTGATTCGATATTAGGATAAATCAAATCAAGACTGGCACCTCTAGGGATTGGATAATCCTCCAAGTTCCAGAAGACAACTGTCTCATCCTCTTGACAAAACAGAAAACGCATAAACGAGTTAGTTACGAAATAAAAGATACAAGATAGGTTAGATCTACATTGAGATCTACATTGACCATTATTATACTATGACTGATCGATTATATAAAACCTAAACAAATAGATTCCGGTTAGAGATGGAGAGAGATCTTACTGGAGGAAAATTCGATCGTGGAGAGGTCTTCGCCCATGGTTCGACGGAGAGAATTGGAGACTTTCTTGCTACGTTAGGGTTAGGTCAGGGCTTTGAATGTGTCTACGGATGAGAGAGAGCCTTTGTGGTTTTTTTTTTTTTTTTTTTTTTTATCGTGCCTGGCATGTTTTTAACCGTTGGATCTCTTTCTAAGGATGTTTTTAGAGATATTTGGGAATATAGTACGTTTTTAAAATTTAATATGGAAACTAGTACGGTTCCTATTTACAATTGGGAAAACCCCCAGTTTTACTGTGCTTCACTGTTTTGAAGACATTGTAACCCTCAGATATTTCTTATATTTACGACAATGCCATCACTATACTTAAAACAATCAGAATTTTTCTCGAATTCATGGACCACAATAACTACTATTCTTCTTCTTCTCTATGATCTCTGCTTCATTGTTTCCCCTTGTTTCTGGGTATCTAAAAAAATTCAATCTTTATTTCTTCTTGTTAGCGAAAATGGAGAATAATAGTTGTATCGGGTTTGAAGGATCGAGAAGATTTAGTGAGAGTAAACGTATCATTGGGTGGGAATTTGGATAACATCCAAGCAAGCTTGTCGGGTTTGGTTTTTCTATTTTCGTTCAAGAACGCCACAATTGCTCTCACTGTCGTCAACGTTCTCATCTTCCTCTTCCTCCTTCAGGGCTATTTCACTTCTTCATCATCTTCTTCTTCTTCTTCTTCCTCTCGCCGACTCATTTCAGGTCTGCTGCAATTCATCTCTCTCGTCCTTTCTCTGTAAATTTTCGTAATTCCTTGTGGGTATATCCTGATTTTGTGTAATTTCTCTGGATTTCATCGAAATTGTTCAAAGTTTGGTGCTTTAGGAATCATCTCTTGATGGGTCTTTCTCGGATCTGTTCTCATAACAAAATAAATTCAGGCTTATTGATTAGTTTTTAGATTTCTGGATCTATGTGGTCACTTGGATTCGCTCTTTCTAGATTTAGGATTTTAGGGCTTCTACAAAGCTATGATTCGATTTAGAGAAAGTTTAGATTTTTAATTCAATTGCATACAGCACTTGAAAGTTAAGCTCTTTCCATGGAACTGTTGATATCTTAATCTGGTACAATCCTTAGACATGAACTAAGATATTAAGTGAAATTAGATTTTTTTTTATCTTTTGAGTTAGTTGTTGTTCTTTACTCGGGAGTCTTTTGATTTCAATTAGGGAATGGTGCTCTCTATCAAAAGGTTACCGTTTACTTCTTCTTTGGTGTGTAGCTATTTCTGCGATTCTCATCGATTAAGGTTTATTTGTTGGGTTTTTGGTTAGTATTTGTTATTAAGTTGAGAATCGATTAAAGATGTTGTTGTAGGTTCCGTGGTGGAGAATGGCGGCGCTGAAATCATCAAGTGGAAAGGAGAAACTTTCGAAAAAACTTGAGATTGCAGAAGATGGTAAAGAGGAGAACGATGAAGAAGAAGGAAGCAAAGGTGAATAATTGATTTTCTCTTTAGTGATTATTGATCACGTGGTGGTTTTGTGTTTGTGTCTTTAATTACTGCACACATTTGGTAAAAATGGATCTTTTGTTTTTGATCTTTTAAGCTTAGGTAGGCGTCAACGAAGAAGAAGAACAACATTAAAAGCAATTAAGAGATTTTTGTTTATTGGCAAAAAAAAAAAAGAGATTTTTGTTTTTGACTATTTGTTTCTTGTAACAACATTAAAAGCAATTGAGAGTTTTCTTAGAACCGTGACGCCGTCGCTCAATCTCAAACGACACAAAGGCCAAGCTGATCAGTACTCTCCTTCGTCCCTGGATAATTGCTTCTCGGTTTAGTGTGTCTCTCCTTCTTGATTTAGTTACGCAATATACTTTGGTGGATTAAGGGCTAGATAATAGTAAGAAGACCCTTTTCTTTTATCTTTTCCTAAGATTTAGTTTGTATGGTGTTGAAATATAATAAAGAAAGAAAAAGAGAAGGTAGGGAAAAACTATTCGGACATGGGTTCTCCAGCAAATTAGTTCATATGTGAATGGCTTCTGTACAGATTACATATCGTACATCCAGGTTGATGTACAGATAGTTTTCTGTTCACATCTATGGTGGTTGTACAGTCATTCTGCTGTACAGTTGTCTTCTGCTGTACAGTGGTCTACATCTGTACAGTCATTCTGCTGTACAGTTGTCTTCTGCTGTACAGTGGTCTACATCTGTACAGTCATTCTGCTGTACAGTTGTCTTCTGCTGTACAGTGGTCTACATCTGCACAGTCATTCTGCTGTACAGTTGTCTTCTGCTGTACAGTGGTCTACATCTGTACAGTCATTCTGCTGTACAGTTGTTTTCTGTACAGTGGTCTACATCTTGGGAATATAGTACGTTCCAGAAACATAATAGGCAAACTAGTACGGGTACTATTTACAATTGTTCGTGAGAGAAAGAGTGTGAGAGAGAAAGAGTGTGAGAGAGGGTGTGAGACGTTTGAGAGTGTGAGTGTCAGAGATAGAGTGTGAGAGAGAAAGTGTCAGTGAGAGTGTAATTTTTTTTTTAATTTCTTTGGGCTTGAAAAAAAAGTGTGTGCGAGAGTGTGAGAGAGTGTGGTCAGAATTTTATTTTTTTAAATTTCTTTTTCTTTCTTTATTATATTTCATTCCCTCATAGTTTAATAACTAAAATGCTCGTTCGTAAATTTTATTTTTCTAAAATTGATCATATACATAAAAATCTATGTTTTTTTCTCAATTATTTGATATGCATTTTGTTTTATAAATTTTAAAATTTATATTAACAAACAATGTACAAATAATATATAAACAGATATAAATCACTGTACAGATGTAGACCACTGTACAGAAAACAACTGTACAGCAGAATGACTGTACAGATGTAGACCACTGTACAGCAGAAGACAATTGTACAGCAGAATGACTGTACAGATGTAGACCACTGTACAGCAGAAGACAACTGTACAGCAGAATGACTGTACAGCCACCATAGATGTGAACAGAATACTATCTGTACATAAACCTGGATGTACGATATGTAATCTGTACAGAAGCCATTCACATATGAACTAATTTGCTGGAGAACCCATGTCCGAATAGTTTTTCCCTACCTTCTCTTTTTCTTTCTTTATTATATTTCAACACCATACAAACTAAATCTTAGGAAAAGATAAAAGAAAAGGGTCTTCTTACTATTATCTAGCCCTTAATCCACCAAAGTATATTGCGTAACTAAATCAAGAAGGAGAGACACACTAAACCGAGAAGCAATTATCCAGGGACGAAGGAGAGTACTGATCAGCTTGGCCTTTGTGTCGTTTGAGATTGAGCGACGGCGTCACGGTTCTAAGAAAACTCTCAATTGCTTTTAATGTTGTTACAAGAAACAAATAGTCAAAAACAAAAATCTCTTAATTGCTTTTAATGTTGTTCTTCTTCTTCGTTGACGCCTACCTAAGCTTAAAAGATCAAAAACAAAAGATCCATTTTTACCAAATGTGTGCAGTAATTAAAGACACAAACACAAAACCACGTGATCAATAATCACTAAAGAGAAAATCAATTATTCACCTTTGCTTCCTTCTTCTTCATCGTTCTCCTCTTTACCATCTTCAGCAATCTCAAGTTTTTTCGAAAGTTTCTCCTTTCCACTTGATGATTTCAGCGCTGCCATTCTCCACCACGGAACCTACAACAACATCTTTAATCGATTCTCAACTTAATAACAAATACTAACCAAAACTCCAACAAATAAACCTTAATTGATGAGAATCGCATAAATAGCTACACACCAAAGAAGAAGTAAACGGTAACCTTTTGATAGAGAGCACATTGAAATCAAAAGACTCCCGAGTAAAGAACAACAACTAACTCAAAAGATAAAAAAAAACTCTAATTTCACTTATTATATCAAGTAAAAGCAACGACCAATCCTAAATGTTCCAAACAAAAAATCATCTGATTAATTATAGATATCGATCTATTTGTAATTATTGAAGGGTCATGCTTGTAGAATATTGACTTGATTTCTAATTTCACAAATGAATTCCCAAACCCAACGAACCTGGAATTGAAATCCACAAATCAACCAATTTTAATTTGTTATAGGGATTTCCTAAAATTGTCTATGTTTCTCGTAATGGCTTTGTGTTTAATTGGTCGTAATCGAGCTGTGTAAGTGAGGGTACGCGAGATTTAAGCTATGACATTGGAGAAGATAGATGAGAGTTGCAGAGATGGAGAAAAGTTGTAAAAATTGAGCGGAGAGAAAGAGAGAGAGAGAGAGCAATGAGAGCAATGAGAGCGGGGAGAGAGATGGAGCAGAGTTGCAGAGCTTTGATGGAGAGAGAAACGAGAGAGCTGAGAGAGAGATGAAGCAGAGTTGCAGAGCTTTGATGGAGAGAGAAACGAGAGATGAAACGAATAAACACAAAAGCCCTTTTTGGTCTTTTCTAAAACCCACTAATATTTCTATCTCACAAACACGTCTCACCGACTATTCTCCTAATTGTGAATAGTAACTGTACCACTTCTACAATTATGTTTCAGAAACGTATTAGTTTCCAAACAAACCCATGTTTTTAATCTGTGGCTTATTCTTTTTTTTTTTTTTTTTTTTTTTTCAATCTTTGGCTTTCTTCTTCATCATTTTTCTATCATGGTTTTTGAAAATATTGCTTTCAAGTCAGTTCCATTACCATTCAACTATGATGAAAACGATGAATAAATGTTTGCAGAAGAACGTTAAAAACTTTCTTGAACATATCTTAAAATGAAGTTTGTATTGTAACAACTTATTAGCGTCTTATACAACAAAACCAACAGAAATGTGAACACTGCAGTACCTATATACCGTTCGGATTTAGATGAAAGACCGCAAATAACTTGCTAGTAAACGGATAACTCCAACACACTAAGAGGGGAGAAGTAACAAAATTTAAAATAAAACTGAGTCTTTGAAATAAAATCTGCTGCAAGCAAAACGAGCATATCCACCGATACGAACATAAGCTAGCTAGTTCACATATAATGTGTCAGCCCTGATCTTCCGCAACTGCTCTACGCTTTGTGGGATTTTCGTCTTCCCTTCCTCTCTTTCTAGCAAAAGAGTGCATTTCATCAAAGAGCAATATTGGCCATTCAGAACTTTCTGGTGGAACACGCTTAGTTGGATCTACTAAGTAAACATGGTAGTGTCTACCCATATCCATCGAACTAAGCATGTCGAAGAAATAGGGGTCACATCTGACTTTATCAGAGACTACGACCACAGATGCTGGCTCAGGAAAGTCCACAGGTGAGTCCTTTTCCCATATAAGAATGTCATTGAACATTCTCTTATCGGGTTTTTCGCCTCCAGGAAGGAAGTAGAGTCTTGCCTTCCACGTCTTCTTACACAAAAAGTCACCCCAGGAGGAAACATCCTTCTCGTCAACATAAGCCCAGATTGACATCTTACCCCTAAAGCCAATCTCAATAAGAGAGGATTCGATTTTCTGATAGATCAAATCAGGACTGATACTATTAGGGAATGGGTAACCCCGGAGGTCCCAGAAGACGCCCATCTTAGCCCCTTCGACGCGTGTGATAGGCTCTACACGGTTTCACAACACAGAAAACGCATAAACGAGTTAATTACGAAATAAAAGATATAAGATAGGTTAGATCTATACATTGACCATTGTTATACTATAACAGATCGACTAGGTCAGGGCTAGTTTAACTATGACAGATGGATCATATAAAATTTAAACAAACAGTTTCGGGTGAGAGATCTTACCGGAGAAATCTTCGATCTTGAAGAGGTCTTCGCTCATGGTTCGACGGAGAGAATTGGAGACTTTCGATTTCTACTAAACCCTAATTTAGGGATCTATATATAACAATATTTGAGAAGTGTTTTTGCTGACGTGTCGGACTCTCGGCTCTTGTTGAGTCCTTGATTTTACGTAATTACTTAATTACCCTTAATGAAATCTAATTAATTTTGGAAAAATTAAATTGAATTTCGGAATTAACCAGGAAAAAATAATTTTGGAAACAATAAACATGATAATTAACCATGTTATGTCTTTAAGACGTCAATACTATCCTGCACCCTATAATTCTAACCAATGAAAAGAACAAATATTTATTACCTTGGATACAGAGTTGACGAAGAAACCTTGGACAAAAACTCGACGAAGAAACTTGTAAGTGTTAATGTATGATGAAGCTTCCATGAACGTGAATTCGTGATCATAATGAAGAAACGTGTGAATGGAGACGGTTGATGGTTTTTTTTTTTTTTTTTCTTTTTTTTCTTTTTTACCTTTTGTGCAAACAGATCTGTTTCATAATTTATCGGAAAAGGAATTATACCAAAAAAAAAAATCGGAAAAGGAAAATATTTATTATAATATTGATATATTTAAGATGATAATGTCAAATATCCGAAAATTATTAATCGGAGCATTAATATAAACAGAAAAGAATACTATTCTAACCTTACTCAAATTAATAAGATTTAGATATCCGAAATTAATCGTAAACGGCTATTAATTGTTAAACTAATTAAAATAAAGATCAAACGTACCGGAATAGATGAAATTTTTGGTATGATCGTCGTGTTCGTCGTCGTTTCAATCTAAATATTTGGAAAAAAAAAACGAACAAAAAAATAATATGTATATCAATGAAAGAGAACCCACCAATTTAGAAACGGTTATCACGCCATCGTATTGTTCGTCGGATGATTATAAGTCTCTAATCCGGAGATTGACTTGAACCCTGACAAAAACATATATTCATAGCATAAAATCGTAAATAGAAGGTAGAAGACCACCTATTAATCGGTTGTAACCTTGTGCAAACTCGATTTAATTTTGACGAATGAAATGTTGGTGTGGTGTCAAAACTTTCTTGGGGAGACTCGAAGATGAGAGAGCTGAAGTCAGAGATAGGCAGAGAGGTTTACATGTGAATTAAGGTATGGAGTGCTAACGTGAACATGAACGTGAACGGCGGTGATTTTTGCACATAATAGCAATTAGATCGAGTTTTGGAAAAAAATATGGATCAGCGTGACATGACGCATATGGATGCCATGCATGTCTATCTATTGTAAATCAAAAATTATATTATTGTTCCGCCTTATTTTTGAAACAGAAAGGAATTTTCCCTTAAATTTTAATATATTTTATAAGATAGTATCAGATATAGTAGTAAATCTAAAATAGTTGTTATTATTCCATATTTTTACGGAAAAAAGTAAATATTATTTTAAATAAACATGGATAACAATGAATAAATGGCAGTTTTACAAATATTTATTATTATGATAGTGATTTGCTTATTAAAATATGTAAATTTTCTTTTCTTTTTTTGTATTTATCGTCGAAAAATTTAGAAACCCTAAATCATGCACCGCCTCCTATTCAATATAAATACCTTGCTCATGGTATTCAATTTCAGATCATAAATAACCCTTGTTTTTTTTGTTCTTTTTTTTTGCTTCTACCTAATTTTAATTTTTCTTTTTATTGTAGGGTGGATGTATGGAGGGGACGATGTCAACTGGTGTATGGAAAATTTGGACCTAATTCAATGAATAAACAGGTGATCTTATTGTTTATATGTACAAATTTGATTTTTTTTTTTTTTTGTATTTATGGTTTCACTATTTTCACCACTAATCAATTTTTATAATCAAAAAGTTTGGTTTCAACTTTTGAGAAGGTAATCATCGATGGTTTGGTATGTTTCTTTTTGTTGTAAAAAGATGAGGTACCTCCCGATTTTGTTGAGGTACATGTTCTTATTATTTTCAAATATGTCTTTTTTCAGAAGAAACACTCAACTTTTGATAACACAGTTGCCACAAAGTCAGAAAGATGACTTATTTCAGGGATGAATCTTCAGAGGAGGCTAATTTTTGTCGTTAATACAATTTAAGTATTCCTCTCTTTAGATTAGGGATAACAAACTTGGCTGTTAAATTCAGGAATTACTCTTCGTTGCCAATCTCTCTCCCCAAACTAACATATTACATATATGGAAGTAGTAACTTAAAGTTTTTGGTATCGAGGTCATTCTAAGGCACTGAGATTCGGACTTTGGTATGTATAGGATTTGTTTTCCATGCACTAAGATTTAATTATTGTTTAATTTATTGGTTTTTAGGTTTCTTTCCATGCTCTGATGCGTTTTCGGGTGTGCCAATGGAAGCTTGCATCACTCTTTACTCCAAGCGTAAGTATGCTCTGCATTAGCTTCTTCTGTTCCATTGGTTATTATGGGTTTTGACTTTTGAGAAATATACAACAATTTAAAACCAGGTTTTGTTGTTGATTGGTTCGGTTTGTATACCATATTTTGCTAAATACATATGACAATAAATAAGACCAAAGGAGCTGGGTTAGCTCCTTTGCCAGCTAGGTTGACTTCGTCTCCTCCCCGTCGTGCGGATTTCCGTTATTCAACGGGTATATTTGAGAAGTATACGGTACTAAAACCACAACCATTGATCTTAGCTTGATCGGTTCTTTCCTAGGATTTATACATAAAAGTAAATTGTTTTGTTTAATAATTTTCCATTGCATGAACTTTCGAGACAACAAGTGGACATGAGTGTAATGTCATCAAAAGTCAAATCAAACACTCTGAGGAACATAATAGATAACGTTGGCTTCTTTCGCAGCTGCTCAACGTTGTCTCTCCCGATGGTCCCAACACTCTCTTCTTCTTTTTTTGTCAACATTCAAACGTTGTTTAAAATAAATAAAAATGTTTAACCTTAATCATCTTTCTAGATCTTTAAATGCCTAAAACTTCAACTTAATCAGTCAGCAATCCGTCACGTTAATGATTTTGAAAGGAAGACTTTTGTTTTGTTTCGGTTAGTTTTGTTTGTTTAGTATTTTAATCACAAGATAACTCTAATTTCCCATTAGAGTTGTGTTAATTGTGTTGATTATGATTTGGCGTTCCAATTCTGATATTATTTTTATGTTGTCAATCTTAAACTGTTACGTTATTGTTCTATCTTCCTATGTGAGAAAAAAGTAAAATGTTTTAAAATTTTGACATGGATAATAATATAATTGTAAATCTATAATAATTATATTATCATTTTATTTATATTTTTCAAAAAGAAATATATTTATCTTAATAGATTTAATATGATAATGTCAAATATAGTTATAAATCTAAAAGAGTTATGTTATTATTCCATCCTTTTATGAGAAAAAAGCAGATATTCTCTTAAACTTTTAAATTAACGTGGATAATAATAAATAAATGATAATTTTACTAATATGATAATGATTCGGTTTTAATCTTACCAAAAAAAAAATAATGATTCTGTTTTAAAAATATATAAATTTTGTTTGTTTAGTTGTAGATATTGTCATATAAAAAATTCTTAGATCCTCCACTGCCTTAATTTTATGTAAATACCTTGCTTGATATTTAATTTTGATTTGATATCATAACTAATCCTTGCTTTTTTTTTCGGCACTAACCATTGAATTTTTTATACTGCCATTTAATTCTTGCATAAAAAATAATAATTAATAGTAGTGTTTATTATGAATGCAGGTTTGTTTTCCATAAAAACTAGATTGGATTTATGGAAGCACGTCATTGTTTCCAGTGCGAGGAAACAAATGTCGTATCACTGCTGTTGTGGCTCTTTAGTACTTTCGTTTCTGTTTATGGCTTTGCTTCGGTTGTATGGTTAGTCATCAATCATTGATCTTCTCATTGTTTGAATATTGTTGCATAGGAAAAATCTTCCTTTTTTATGAATCTTTCAAAAGTTGGGTCCATGCTATTCTCAGTGATTGATTACGTTTATTGAATATTTGTGTGCTTCCTCTGCTGATATTCTAATTCATGCTTTATTCGTCGTCTTTGATACACTCTGATTAACCATTGTGGACCTCTAGAGTCTAATTTGCAATATTAATGCAAGTCTCTTTAACTTACGGATTATGAAGAGCATCCTAAGATCGTTTAATTTGATTCAGGCTTTATGTGGCTAATGTTTGGTCTTGGATGTGAATTAGTCTATCATGTTTCTTGGAAGGTAGGAAGCAATCTTGATGTTTACCAAAATCCAATGTGCTCTTTTGTAGCTCAGTTTTGAAATATGTACTAATTATTGTAGAGGGAACCCGAAACAAAGAGACCATATGTATGATTTTATATGCGAAGAGAAGCTCCGAATTTGAAATCGTCTCCACTCCGGTGATATGTGGCCATGGTGTGAAGGAGTCTGGAGCCATGGTTATTTCAGATTCGGACATAACCGTAATTGTTAAACTAATAAAAATAAGATCAAACGTACCGGATTGATGAGAATTTTTGGTGTTCTTCGTCATGTTCTTCGTCGTATGGATCTAACAAAACAAAAAAAAAATATATACCCCAGAATTTTTTTTTGTTTGTTAATAGAGAGAACCCACCAATTTTGTAGCGTTGATTGTGACATCGAATTGTTTGTCGGATGAATATAAGTCTCTAATCCGGAGACTGAAGTTGAACCCTAACAAAAACATATATTCATAGCATAAAATTCATAAATAAAAGGTAGAGCATCACATAGCTTTTTCTTCAAAGCCAACACATCTCTCTTTGTAGCCGAATTACTCTCCAGTTTGGTATATACTCAAATTTTCCAATGACTTCCTTCTCGAACCTGGAGCGTTTTTGCTTTGCCGGATATTTTTAGGATATGGCTCTTATGTATCTCTTGTGAGTCACTTGATATGTTGTTTAGGTAAAACTTTTGGTTTGAAAGAGAATGATCTACGACAAGCATAATCGGTTATTTGTTATATATGTGGCCATGTTCATATTGCTTTCTCCACAAGCAAT